TACAATTGCGGAACCGCAGTCCGAAACAGCAGCTTGGCACGTGCAATCGGGAGCATCGAAGCACGTAATGGATTAGTCAGGATTAAAATTTGATCAAAACCAGGACCAAGCCGAATAATTAACCATGCATCTATTGTCTTCCGTGTATAATAATTATCATCTTCACCATTTCCTCGATTGCTTTTCACTAATTCCTGAAAGTCTTCTCTACTATTGTGAGAAGCGAGAATAATTCGAGATTTATTCTTCCAACGTACATTGAAAAAAATATAATTTTCCACGTGATAATTTTGAAAACATTTGCGATTGATGAAGCAAATAAATGTGAACGTACATTATATTGCAGGAAGCTTTCTCTCGTTTTTAATCAATACGCTTAGATTAAATTAAACAATCTTTTATTGATGATTGACTAACAAAAATGTTCAATGTATTTTGCAAATCTATTTTGTCATTTTGTCATCACGGATATTTTCATGTAAATAAACTCATTTATTTTAATATCTAACGCACCAAATAAATTGTATATAATTATACCTTTATTTTTTCTTTAATTATAGTTCTATTATAATCACAACAAAATGTTAAAATTCATTTTTTCAAAAATGTTAATTATACTTTAGCGAATTTATTTTTGTAAATATTCCAATATTAATATTTTTTAATTGTTATCTGGATTTTTAGAATAAATAATAATTTATAATAAATAATAATAATAATTTTTAGACTTTAAATAAAATCAAATTTTATTAATCTCAAAACTAACATAACTATTCTTTTAACTTTATTATTGTTAAAGTTGGTGCCTTTTTAATTGAAATAAAATATAACAAAAAAAATTTATAAGATACGACTTTTTTGTCTTGAATATTTAAATAAGATTATTTAGAAAATACTGAATGTATTGTATAAAATAAAAAATTGTTATTAATAGTTCAGCAAATAAGTATTTAGAAGTTCTATTACAATATTTTTTAAAAGAATGTTACCCTTTGCCTTAATTGATCCAATCTGAACAAAAAAGAAATATAATGTGTAACAAAAGAAAAGAAATAGTAACATGATTCTTCCATCATTTAGCTGGATTTATGGTTGTTTCTTAAGAATAAAAAATACGAAAGAGATTTTGCTAAGAAATTTTTTAGTTTTTATATTTGAATTAAACATTTATTTGAAAATTTATTAAAAATGTTACAATTTGTAATGTTATGCTAATAAATCGTTTTTTATATTAAGTTCTCAGATAGTGATATATTTATATATCAAGAAATACAATATTCGCAATCTTTGAAGATGTCACAAAATAGAATTTAAAATTTCTATTTCGTTATGTAACACATGCACGAACATTGTTTCATTAATGTCTGCAAACTCTTGCATTTGGAACTGAAATTTGCAGGCGAAAGTTTCTCCAGCGCTTTGATTAGTGCACGTTAAAATGAAAGCACTAGCTCAATGTGTGTGCTATGTGTAATTAAAAATTTATCGACAATATTACAGCGACCGAAGGAAAGTAGAGTTATACTGAAATACTTAAATGACCAGTGAATTTTTAGTCTCGATTGCGATATTTTAACTTTTGAATTACGTATTTCACTAATTGATATGATTCACGTGTCAAAGGTATAGAAAATAAAGTAATATATACTTGATTTATATATAGCGAAATGGATGAAACAGATAGATTGAAGATACAGTTTTATTATCAGTTTAATGACCAAAATCTAGTTTAGGGTCGTGTAAGAATACACATACAATTATTAAATTAGGATTGTTTTTCTGCCGTTATACAACGCGTACGTCCAGTTAATTTCTCAATTATTTATTATATGGATTTCTATTTAATTTTCACAAAAGATCTATTTACTGGAAAATTATCAATTATCAATGTTCATAATTTATTATTTCATTGCGAAATTTTGTGTTTGTTTTATATTGTATATATTAAAATGCGAAATTAAATTGTATTATTATTTCGTATTAAGTTACATTTTTGATGGAAGCTAGAAATTATTAAAATATTTTACTAGAGAGGACAAAATGTGCAGAAAATGTGATAGACAGAACGAATCGCGTTAAGCTCGACAAATTGATATTAAACAGTATACGAATGCGCGTGAACGCGTCTCTCTTGTCCAGAATCAAATATCATCTGCTTTCTGTAACCGCCTAAAGCACTCGCTGTAACTGAATAATTATCCGAATGGCACATTGGAGACGCCAGAGGCTTCCTCCGCGAAATGGAATTCCCGTTTCCTTTGTACGTGACCTGCCGATGGATTTTCCCGAACGTTCTGATACCCAGAGCTCTCGCGCCACATTTCATTCTGATTGATTTGTTTTCAATTCGAATGCTCCTGACGCTGACTCAAGGCTGAATTAATCCTTGTAACGATATAGCCTAACCAATTCTTGTCTGTCAACCAATCGGCAACGGATTTCGCCTGAGACTAATGTCGAAGAAATATGTATTATATGCTGTTAGTATTTTGTTAGATATCATTGATGGATAAATTAAGTAGTACACATAAAAATATATTAATTATATATTTATTACTTTTTAAATATTGTTATTATTTTTAATTTAACGGTTTAATTTACTTGTTCTCCAAACTCATTAAATGCATTTAATTTGTACACTTTTTTTCTATAAAATGTAGTTAATGTATGCTCAGATTAAGTTCGCTGTTAAATGCGTTGGTAAAAAAAGCATTTCGCGATGCTGTCACGTAATCTGGAACGCGTTCAAACAGAAAATAATTATACGGCATATCTGCAGGTATCGGCAGGTCGACTTAATGCCATTACGAGTTAATAGACCGCAATGCCGATAAATTCGCCGGTAAACGCCCGTCGAAACTTCTCGCACGAGGCGGAGACTGGTAAGCGAGAAGAAAAAGTTCAATCAAAGGAACTCGATGCAAGATGGTGTTCAGCTGCACCGACGCGCCTTCGTTAGGCAATTGCAATTTTTCGTCCAAGTTTCTGTCTTATATTTGTTCCCTTTTTATTTTATCACAATTTTATCTTTTTTTTGTTTTTTGCTTCTTCGGCTTTGTGGTGCTTTTGACGTGAATCGCATCTCGACAGTCAAGTAAATGGGAAAAGGAAAGAGTGAAAGCAAAATGGTAGGAAACATTGGAGAAACGAGAGAGATGAAAAAAAGTTGAATAAACGGATAGGTTAAGAAAACTGGATAATTCGCAATTACTTGAAGTAGGTCGAGTCGTTTTAAAATATTATATTTGTGACATGACGTGAAATAAGAGCGCAAGCAAATAAGCGGAAAATTTGGAATAATTACGAATACAGTAATGGTGGCCAACTATACTGCCAAATTTACCATCGTTGGTGCGAGAATTAATATTGAGGCTCACAAAGCTTAATTATTTCCTCGAAAATTTCATTGCGTATATATTTTTCACTTTAGAGAATTTAAGACGCGTAAGCTTAATTGCGTAATTTTTACGCTGAAATAGCCACGCGAGAGCATCGACTAGGAAGAATTATCCTTGCGTCTAATACGAGACGAAGCTAGGCGAATATTTGGCTGTGTAATTTGCGCTCGTCGGTCGCTTATTACGTGATAAAATGTAAATGACGGTTTAAATTGGGCAGCGGTTCCAAGTGGAAATGTAACCGGGGAAGTGTTCAAGTCCGGTTCCGTCGGCGTCCTCAGTTTACGAGGCAATTTTCAAGATTCAGCGCGACCAGCAAAATCCGTGAGCGTCGCAGCTATAACGGCGTTGCAGTTGTCGCGGTTTCGCCGGCTACAATTGCGGGGCCAAAGAGTAGGGCCCCGCCACTCATGCTGCATTGGGTAGTCGCAGCAATTGAACTAATTGCCAAGCGTAATTATCCGGAATTAATCGAGATAAACCGCTTAATTATCACGTCTCGTACAAAGCTCGTTTATTTCTCAGTATATCTGTTAGCCGATTTTGGACAAGCAAAATGCCGTTAAATGCGCGCTAATTATTATCAACATGGCATCGAAGCGTCGAAACTAACGGGGTAAAATGTTTCTGCTTTAAACGACATAGAAAATTGCAATCTAAAGATATTTAAATGCAAATTCGATGTAATCAACATGTCTAGTGTTATTTTAGTAAATATCAAATTCTTGGATACCAATATCTTAGAATTATAATTTTGCGTACAGATTTTTTTCTTTAATTAGAATATATTTTCTCTACAGAAAGCACATAATCCTTGGCGAATTATGGAATGGACAAACTTAAATAAATGTCTAAACCATAATTAGAAAAAGTTGAATTTTTGTATTTTCTGTTACATAAAAATAAAGCATGCAAAAAAACTAGGAGAGAATTTCGCAAAAATCGAGGAATGAGTGCTTTGTCTATTTTAGTGAATATCTGTGAAAAGAATGGAACATGCGTTGCAAATACAGCGACAATCAGTACGAATAAAAATGCATATCGACTCCGAAAACAGTTTAATCAACATCGGAATATGGCGAGAGCGATGGCTTAATTAAATCGCCGCGAGATACACAATTGTTTTGGTCGTTTTTGTCATTTTGCCAGGTTAAGTTCTTAACGTGAAGTTATTTGACCCATTCCACGGTATCGTTCATAACATGGTCGCGATACGAAAGAAACGAACACGTTCCGGCAAGCCAATTAAGATTTACGAATTTCCAGCAATGACGAGCGTCCACGATGATACCGTCCGGACCGACATTTCACCATGAATTTATCGTTTTATCGTTTGTAGTGTCGTATCAGCGGCGGCGATACCGTGCAAAAGGTCGCTTTGGCGCATCCGAAGCGGATTTATTTGCGACCCGGAAATAGCCATGAGTTTGTATTTTGATGGCGCATTTTACGACAATAATTCATCGCGGTTTGTTGCTTCACTTTCGAGACTAAACGTATCTTCTGCCGATGTGACAACATAAACAATATGATTTATCGAATTTAACATCAATCGTTATGAATTTATTGTCATTCCGTTAAGATCTTTCTCTTTTCTTGCAGAGTAATCGCAGCCAACCAGCCATCGGATTGAAACAGACGCCGAAAGCGCGGGTAAGTGTTTATATGTATACTTTTTATGCAATGTATAATTGAGACGTGCCAAAGCAACACGTTGTGTTATTTTTTTAATTTGTGGAAGAAAGGGAAAATTTATTTTCTAGAAAACTATTGTTTCGAAAAGATTACTTACTAATGGTTAAATATTCTACAAAAGATTACTGTAATCGTTAAAAATATGAGCAGTCAGTCTTTGCAAAAAGTTTTAATTAAGCTCTAATAAAAAAAATCGTTTTAGTGATTAAAATTTTAAAATATTGTAAGTCCAAGTAAAAATAATTGCATTATCCATTTTTCTTTGTTTGTAACAATACTTTTTATGCCAAATATTAATATGTGACAGAACACAAGTACTTACAATCTATTCATACAATGCATTTGCACAATTTTGGCACTTCCAACATTTTGCTGTGGCACACCTCAATTATTTTTCATTTTGAATTTATATGTATATCCATATTTATTATATTAATTTTAAATTGAAAGAAATATTATTATATTAATATTAAACTAAAATTTATATTATTTTTATCATGTGCAATATATTGTTTTATGTTGTATAACAGTAAATTTTGATGTATATATGTATATATACATATAGTACATATTGCTCTACCATTTGTTATCATAATTGATTATGCACTTTAAAAAAAATTAAAAAATTTCTACATAAAATGTACCTGGAGGAAGGCAAATGATAAATTAGAAATGGGCTGTACTGTCCATAAAATTTTCTACAGCAAACTTTTTATCAAAAGAAATCTAAGTATGACTGGAGTATGTTGATTATAAGAATAAGCAATCTAAATGATATACTCAGCTTGGCAATAGGCATAGCTTTACATTACGTGAAGACATAAGTTTAAATTCAAATTTGACTTTCTACTCCACAGCCTATTTTTTTCACTGCGTGTGCGACTGTTAAAGAAGTAGAAAATAGAAAGCGCGTATTTATCTATCTGAAAATATTATTGGGAAAATAAAAGTAGTGCTCATTTGATGACATGTAGATTTTAATTTTAAGAGAGAAATTAAATCGTACGTATTCTATGTATTAACATATTTTGATTTACATTTTTGGAGGTTATTATATTAATTGTTTCCATTATTTTTGAAAATAGTAATATTGTGATGATCAATCAATTTCTATGACAGTAATTGACTGTGAATGAGAAAATCTGTTAATTTTCTTTCTCTTTCTCTCTCTCTCTCTCTCTTTCTTCTTGTTATAGACCTTTTTGTCCACTACTCTTTCCCTTATGTACTTTTTCACCCTCTCAACTCATCCCCTTCCGTCAGTCAAATGAAAGTCGAAGGACTCGGAAAAAGGGAACGCTGGGAATGCGAACGGTAATGTCGACGGAACGACGTGAAATCGCGCGGTGCAATTTCGTGAGATTGCTCGCTGAGGCAACTTGCCGGGAGGACTATCTTCGTGGAAAAGAGCTTCTTGGGAGGGTGCGAGGATGCGCGTATTTTTTTCTTCCTTTGCGCGATTCCAAGGCGTGTTTCGTTCAGAAAGGAAATACGTAGTAGTAGAATTTTATGACAGGTCAGTTGTAAATATCTATCATCCACATACATAATATTTATATTATATTCTAAATTTTTATCACGTCATTTCATTAACCGTATTAATTAATATTATGTATCGATATCACAATCATTTCTGTTTTTAAGCGTGTGAGGTATATATATATATATATATATATATATATATATATAACATTTTAAATTTTTTCTATTCTGCGTGAGACATTGCATGTATGATTTATTGCATTTTACGAGCTTAGATTGATGCATACTGCATCGTCAGCGATTGGTAACTATCGCAGGTTGGAGGCTAGGTCCCTTAGTCTAATTTGACTACTTGATAGGATAAGATTGTGCTCCCGAGGTTATATCATCGGCATACATAAGGCGCCTATATATATATATACGGGAACACAGAGGTGGTAAAGCGTATGAAAGATTAATGAATTTATGCGTATTGCTGCAACCTACATTGCATGGTATTTAATTACCAAGTAATTAAAAATTAAATTAGTGAATTAAGCAAACTAATTACATTTTATATTTTACGAGATATCTTACTATCCTGAGGTAAACTAGATTTGTTGAAATTAAGTTAAAGGTTTTGTGCTGCTCCTGTAAAATTCTCTGCAGAAAATAAACATAGATACGTGCAAAAAATGCCTACGAATAGCGGTACGCTGCTTTATAATTGTATACTCCCAATTTTCTACAATTTTCAACTCCATGACGTGATGTTTTTTCTTCGTTTTTATCGTAACAAGCTGAAAATTGTCACAACAATAAGCTTTTATTTATATATCTCACATTAATAATATTACTTTAGATATTTTATGTGAAAAAATAATACGTGAGAGAAAGAAAGAGAGAGAGAGAGAGAGAATGTGTGTACGACATTTATCATACGTCCATTATTAATTACATCTAGTCTCACAATTAGAAACATTCAGAAGGTATTATAAAGTCACTTAAAAAACATCTAAATCTTTCTCTTATCTGGAATAGTATGTATTATTATGGTATTACTATTAATGATTATTAGCCAATATTGAAATCAAGTTTTCCATCAATAAAAATTATAATTTTACTAATTTTTTGAAAAAATAGTTTTTTAAAAAATTCACTTTATTAATAAATAGTAAATAAGAAATTATTTGTTGGATCCTTCTCGTTCTTCAACGATTTGTTGAACAAAACTCACGGAATGTAAGATCGTTATGTTTATAGTCTCAAGGGACGTAAAGTACCTGCAATATACAGGATAAGGTAACCCGAGAGATAAACCGTGGAAATTAAGAACAGCGGCACAGTTAAACGCACGTACCTACTCGCTAACTGTAGTTCCGCTAACACGTTCTCCTATTTTTCGTATGATGTGCGTCGCAGCCTGTCGCAGTATTTTTTCCCAGATGACAACGGCTGACATCCTCGAGCCGTCCAGCATGTTTCACGATCCCGTAAATTTATCTCGTTCTATTCTCTGACATTTACCGAGCGCGCTTGACTCAGCTCGTTATGTTCAAATCTCAAAAGCGATTCAGCTTGTTAGTTCGAGACTTTCCGATTTAGGATCGCTCATCTCATTTTATTATAACGAAAAAAATTAATCATTATTCTTACTAAAATATATCTCTATTTCCCTAAAATTATGCATAATTATAAAAGATATATTTATGGTATTTTATATTCTCATTTGAAATTCTTTGATTAATGCGCAAAAAAACTAAATTACTCAATTTAATATGAAATTTTTTGGATGTTATTATTTATAAACTTTAATCTTTTTTTTCTTCTATTCTTTATTATTTATTAACTTTACTCCCCAGTTTTAAATATATTTGTAACGAGTTTAGTTCTAAAATATTCATATGTTTTTAATTATACATGACTGAGAAATATCAATTTTTTGATATTTTTATTATGGGAAAATTTGCTGTTGGTTCAAATGTCCATGTATGAAGAAAGATGTGGGAAGCTTTGAACACTATGTATGTGTTTAATCTAAAAATATATCTAAAGTCTCGACAAGAAATGCTACCAGGCTTTTGCATTTTCTTGTGTCTCTTTTCCTCGCTCTGTATTTTTCTTCCTTTATGTCGACGGAGCTACCACGTTCTACTTTCTCGTTATTAGATCTCTTTTCTGCTTCTAGTGTATCTCGTGACAAGATGCAATGATTTGTCGTATACGCCAGTACTTACAATGATTAGTGTTTGCTATGTTTTCTCTTATTGGATTCCGCATTCCCTGCAGTTAAATAGCATACCGCGCATCGTATATTTCTTGGTAACGTAATGAATTAGTCGGTTTGCTAATTACAATTACAAATAGCTAGGTGATCTTCTCGCAACCTCACCGAGTGTCGTTATAACGGTGTTTTGCTTCTACGATAATTCAGCCTTTCCTCAAAGTCCCTCGCCTTCCTCTTCTTCTATATGCACCCTTTATATACTCCATCACCTCATAACGTGCAGGTAGTCAAGTACGTAGGATATAATCTTGCACCGTGAGAGTCGATTGAGTTTCCTATATTATGTTCGAACTTGTTATACTTGGCGATCGTTCGCACGCAGAGTCACGACTAGAAGGAAACTTCGAAACTGCGAATTTAATCTGGCTGTGCGGTACATCGATCGTCAGAGTTAAGGTGATCGAAATGTTTCTTGAATGTTTACATAGAGATGTATTCCCTGGCAAGTCATATATATTCTCGACACGCCGGAACTCGTGTTATCCAGGAGAATACGACGTTGCGGAAACCACGGATTGTATTTTGCGTTCGGTTCGTAACTTGAAGGATACATGCACAAATCAGAGTTATTTCCTCGCTCGTATTCCGTGATAAAATCGTTGATGCTAACCGCTGTGTGTTTGTCTCACGAAATGTCAAGTAAACGAGTTCCGTTACGGACCTTTCAAACTAGTGTTCTCCAATTACACGTTGCTATAAAGTAAAGTATAACTCACTACGAAAGTTGGTTTATATTAGTTAATTAACTTGTACATACGCGTACATATTAAACGGCGATATTATATTTTCATAATCAAATGTATCATGAAATTATCTGTTGAATTTTATTGGAGTTTATAATTCAACTCTATAACTCTTTGACTTCCTTTTCGCAGTATTACACAAATTATTCATAAGAAATATTTATTATTATGCAATTAGTACTTGTTTCATAAGAATATTTCATCATTTACGAAAAACATCGTTACTTTTCAGCAACAAGATGCATACCACTTTATCATTGTAGAAGGAAGTACTCGTACAAGCAAGCGTTGTACTACGTTCGTTTTTGCGTCTTTCAGCGCATTGCAACAGCTATGTAACATTCAAGAAGCTTAGCTTCTTACTTTACTCTCTACCGATAGAGTTACTAGAACGAGCGTACATAGGAATACATTCTTTAGCGGGATTTGTATCTTTCTGGTGCAAGCTCCATATAGTATTCACCTTC